GTAGGCAGGCTCCAGGTTCTGGGCTTGGATCCACGGGTCCAAGTTCGGGGCTTGGGCCGATTAGACTTTGGGCCCAAAATAGGACGCTCATAGGCTTTTAGGAAAGCTACGAAAGAATACTCAAGCTGGAATCAGGAAAGTAGAACAAATATGGAAAGTAGCTAGAGAGTTCGATAGCCAGAAATAGCATGTAGAATCCGTCCCCCTAATCTGAATTACAACCCGCCTTTTATAGGCGTATACAAATCGTAACCGCTATCGATAATAATGACTAATTAATTACAACATTAATATGGAATTAAATACATAATTAAACAACACATTATTTGTTTGACCGTTATTTTTCCTAGCTGGCAGGTCGGCGGACTGGCAGGCTCCCCGTTGGGCTGGTAGGCAGGCTCCAGGTTCTGGACTTGGATCCACGGGTCCAAGTTCGGGGCTTGGGCCGATTAGACTTTGGGCCTAGTCCCATTACTCCATCATATATATCAAAGTATTAAGTATAAGTGTATTACTCATCTTATAGTAATATACTTATATACGATAGTATTATATACTATAAACATTATATTATATATTACTTATAATGCATTTACACATTATATAAACTATATATACTTATACACATTCATACATTTTATAAAAGTAGTTAATTGTTAGACTTCTCATTTTTCTATTAAATTAGTTAATTGTTACATTCCTCTACATTTCTCTTTAAAGAAAAAACAATTAGTTACTTGTTACATATCTCATATTAATATTAGTTAATTTTTCTACATTTATATTTAAACTATAAAAAGTAGTTAATTGGTACATTTCTCATTAAAGTAAAAAAAAAACTAGTTAATTGTTACATTTCTCTTTAAAGAAAAAAAACTAGTTAGTTGTTACATTTCTCATATTAATATTAGTTAATCGGTACATTTCTCATTAAAGAAAAAAACTAGTTAATTGTTACATTTCTCATATTAATATTAGTTAATTGGTACATTTCTCATTAAAGTAAAAAAACTAGTTAATTGTTACATTTCTCATTAAAGTACAACAACTAGTTACTTATTACATTTCTCTTTAAAGTAAAAAAAAAAACTAGTTAAATGTTACATTTCTCGTATTAATATTAGTTAATTGGTACATTTGTTATTAAAGTATTAATTACAAGTAGTTTGATTTTTTTGTCAAGGAAAAAAATTGTTACATTTGATATACTCATATTTTAGTTCGAATTTGCTATAGTTTTCTTAGTCACATTTTATTATTACTATTGTACTCATATAAAATATTTGATATCATTTAATATTTGTTCAATTTTAAAGATAGACCGTGGTAGACATTCTGTAGATATGGGTAATTTTCCAACGCAACCGGAAGAGGAAGATTGCGGCGACTCGTCCTACTTCACGCAAAGGCAAAGGTAAAGCGCGGGCCGGGTCTTCTTTTCAAAGTGGAGATGATTTTGAAACGGATTACCAACGGAGAGATGATATGGCGATGTCCGACGAGCAACTACAAAACCTATTGTCCCAAAATGATCCACGCTTTGCACAAGAACAACAATTCCCGACAACCATTGTCGAAGATGAGCTTGTGGATGAGGATCCGGAGGAGGACGGGGGGGGGGGGGGGGGGGGGGCGACGACACCCTGGATGATGAGCAAGAGTTGGAGGACGAGGGTGGTTCATCCCAAATTGGTAAGAAATCTAAATCTCCTATTATTGAAAACAATTTTACAAAAAGGAAAGACAATAATACCGATAAATGGTACGCAAGTTGCAATCATTGCAACAAAGAGTATAGTTTGGGAACTTCTGGCGGATACGAGAGTCTGACAAGACATCTTAAGTCCGCACACTTTGTGGAGTATGCGAAAATAGACAAAGGCAAGGCGAAGCAAACACAAATATCGAGGTTTGCAAATTCTCAACCCTTTGGTAATTTCTCCTATGATGATAAAAAACATTTGACTGGTATGTCTCATTTAATTGTTGAAGAAAATTTACCCTATATGTTTCCCAAAGTCTTGCTTTAAGAGATTATGCTCAAGGTACTTTAAATCCTCAATTTATAAATTATAGTCGCAACACGATTAAAAAAGAAGTTATAAGGCAATATAACTTGGAAAAAGAAAAATTACAAACATTTTTCGCAAACTTTGATGGACGTGTTAGTATTTGTAGCGATATATGGGAGGATACTTATCATCATTTATATTATTTGAGTCTTACTGCAGATTATATTGATGATGATTGGAATATGCATAAACGTGTTCTTGCTTTTCGTGAATTCAATAATCGTCACACTGCTGATAATATTTATCTTCTCATTGAGCATATTTTAATTGAGTATAATTTGATTGATAAGGTGTTTGTTGTAGGTTTTGATAATGCTAGTAGCCTAGTAATAATACTGCTGCTTTACCTAGATAGCGTGAATTGTGTGATGCTTCTACATTGATGGGTAGGTTTTTTCATCAACGTTGTGCATGTCATATTCTAAATTTGTGTGTACAAGATGAGTTAGCGACATTAGGAAATGCTTTGGAGGTAGTGAAAGGGAGAATTAAATTGATTTGGGCTAATACTCTAATAAAAATGCAATGGCAGCTTTTTTGAAGGATAGACGTGTCAATTATTGTGCTTTTCCTAAAGATTTGTCTATTCGTTGGAATAATACTTATAACCTAATTAAAGTACTTATTAGATATAAAGATCATTTTCCTGCTTTTTTAAAACAATCTTGTAACTATATTATAAACCCGGCTGACATCGACACTTGTGAAAAAATTGTTAATGTTTTGGTATATTTTAATAATGCAACTCAAACTTTTTGTCATGTTTATAAACCTACCGCAAACGAATTTTTTGTTGAAGCTGTTAATCTCGCCGGCGCTTTTTGTGAATTTGTCGATGCCGCTTACGTTAGTTATTTTTGTGATTTCATGAAACAAAAGTTTTTAAAATATTATTCACATATTCCGCATATATATGGTATTGCATTTATTCTTGATCCTTGTTATAAACTTGCTTACTTGGGAACTTGTATAGATTACTATTATGCTTCTTTTTTTCCAACTCAAGAGTTCGATGATAATCCCATAGACCCTAAACAAGAATTCAACGAGGTTAGTATTATAATGAATTTTATGCACAATATGGTAATGCACCTCCTCCCCTGTGCGAACATCTTTTTCATCTAAAAGAAAATCACTTTTAAAATCTGCATTTGGTTCTCTTTTGGAAAAAAGTAAAGCAACTCCCGCTAATGAACAAAGCTCAGTTAACGAGCATTCTTTGTATCTAACATTGAATGTTGATTATGAAGTTGAGATGACTTTGACGTTCTTAAGTGGCAGAAGGAAAATGAAAGAACATTCCCGGTTTTATCAAAGATGGCTAAGCAAGTGCTAGCAATGCCGATATCAACAGTTGCCGTGGAACAAGAATTTAGTGTGGGCGGCAACGTCCTAACCGATTATAGAACGAGATTGAGCCCAAGCTCTCTTGAGACGCTAGTTTGCTTCCACGATTGGTTAAAGGCCCAACGAAGAACTCAAGAAACGAGCATCGCTCCCACCCGCCACTTTATGGAGGAAACAACCGAAGGCGGAGATTCCGATTGATTATTTATTACAAAATTTATTACATTTATTAAATTCATCCTAATTCTCAATTGTACTTCTTATTTGAAATAAATATACTTCAATTTTTTTATATTATTGAGTACATCAATTCAAGAATCAACAAAAAAAATAAAAAAATAAAATAAAAAGCCCGGAACCGGACCAGCCCGGTAAACCGCCGGGTGGCCCGGCCCGACCCGGAACCGGACCGGCCCGGTAAACCGCCGGGCGGCCCGGCCTGACCCGGAACCACCAGCCACCCGGGCCGGTTCCGGTTCCCATTTTCCCAAACAAAGGCCCGGCCGGGCTCAAGCCCGAACCGGAACCGGCCCGGGTCCATCACTAATATAAGGAGTGATTTGCACTTTTTTGGTTAATTCGAGGGTTTATTTGCCCCTTTTCCCATGGGAATATACTAGGAACAAGTTGTGGGAATGACATGCTATGGGCAAAAGCTAATAATACATGGCAGTGAACACGGGAATGCATTGGATCTTATCGGTGTTAAGACATTAATGTCAAGCACATTCGAGTTTGCGAGTCTCAGGAGAAGAGAAGAACAGGGAATGAAAATATTACGAGTGTATGACAAACATCTAGATGTAGCAATAGGGAATGAAAATATTAAGAGTGTATGACAAACATCTAGATGTAGCAATTGGAAAAGAAAAGTTAAAGATTGAAATGGTGTGCAACAATCCACTTCATTTTAAATTCATTTTAAATGGGTATGAGTATGTATAATATAAACCTAATAGTTCCAATTCATTTTAAATGGATAAAAGGTTATAAAAATTAATGTGTTGTGATAAAAATTGCTGAGCTTTTAATACTAGTTACTTAAGTTTCAAAGAATGCCATGGAGATGCTCCGAGAAAAGATGACAACGGAACTACTTTTGTATGCATCAATAAAAAATAGTTTAACTAAATGGGTTTTGTCATATGTATGTGTCGTAAAAAAAACAGAAATTACCCTAAATAGGGGTAAAAACGTTTTGAAATTCCAAAATAGGAGTATCATGTTTTTTATTCCCTGAATAGGAGTAATCTACTAAGTTTGGAAAAAGATGTCATGTTTAAAACCTTGTAATGCCCAAACTTGACAGAAATTTACTCCTATTTAGGGAATAAAAAACATGATACTCCTATTTTGGAATTTCAAAACGTTTTTACTCCTATTTAGGGAATTCTCTCTAAAAAAAACACATTTTTGGTAGTTATATAATATGCAATTTGACACTTTTCAGTATGTATTGTTAGAACATGTTTTACACTTCAAAAGATCTTATTTTATGCTACTAAAACTATATTAAAATGGGTTTCAAGCATGCTGATATGGTGTTTTAAAACAAATTAAAATAGCCTACTAGTCATATGACTCATATACTATTTTGGGTTTTTATTTTTTTAGTGTGTTGAATCAAACCTTCTGTTGATCAGATAGCTGCTACTTAAACTTATTTTTTGGAGCTTATAAGCTCGTTAAAACCATTACAGTTAGCCTTTTATTCTATCAGCCTGCCGACTGAGTTTGTCCAATTTTAACAAAAATGTACAAGTGATGCTGGTACACAAGCTCAATAGCCAAAGCCCAATAATTTCCATCTCTAAACATATAGCAGATAAGTAGAGCATTACCGTCCCTATTTCATAAACCTCTACTTGCCATTGACCCCTGAGCGCATGAACATGCCTCTTTCTAATTCTGTTATCCACAACAATATAAAAACATTAGTTGAACAGCATAAATTTCAAAGACACTTGGTTATCTTCAACAAGATAAGTTACATACCTGCAGTACAGGCAGGGCAAGTCAATGCTGCTTCCAAATAATAGTTAAAGTACATATTATACTATATAGAGCTACCCACTATGATGGTGTTAGTTCAATGCCAGCAGAGACGAGCAATCTGAAAGGTCCTTCAGTAAAGAAATAACATCAGCAGAGGAGCCTAGAAGATATCTGGCACTAGAGCGCTTCCGTCCTACTGCACAAGAGAAGTAATTTTCACCCTTCAGATCAAGAACCGATGACCCTTCGTTCACCATCATTTTCTCGCGCTTCAAAGACCACCAATTTCCATTTCCATCAATGTTCTCCTGAGTTCTGTTCAATGTTGACTCCTTAGTAACCCCAACTTTACCTGAAGAATTTTTTGACATGATTTTGTTCATATGGTTTGGTGCTTTGGCCCTTGCTGATGGTCCGACTGGAAGATCCGGCTCAAAAAATGTATAGATGTCCTCATCCTGACCCACACTCACCATTCAATTGTAAGCTATGTGAATTTCGTTCTTCCAGAAATGGATCAAATGTTTCTTTTATTTTTCCATTTCTTAATGTTGTGATAACTGCAAGACAGCAGCTCTTGCTATGCCATTGTATTTATTTTTCCATTTCTTAATGTTGTGGTAACTGCAAGACAACAGCTCTTGCAGGATTTTGCAATGCCATTCTATTTTATTTACCAAAAGTTAAAGACCGTTTCATTAAAAAATGAAAATTAGCAAGGGAATATTTGGGAAGCTTCCAGGGGCATGAAAACTAACAATATACATTTGAAATGTATCAGTATGTCATCATTGACAGTAATAATTTATAAACCCTCCCTGTGGGAAAAAAATTGCTTTTAACATTATTCGGATTTCAGAGTAATTGATTAAACCTGTTTGCCGCATAGCTATACTAACCTGACTTCAATTTAAACGTTAATGTTAACTTATAAAATCAGATGCTTCTTTTTGGACCCAAAAAAACTTAGAAACATGCCTGGTTTTGGAAAGAGGGGGTATATAGCAAGGGTAAGGGTGCACACCTTTGGAAGAAAGTGTCCAATACATAAAACATAATCAATGGGCGTTTTGACATTGCTGCTATGCACTATTTCACCCAAAATACGATCAATTGCAGAACCCTGCATAACACATTAACAGGGAATCAGGAAAACTTTCACCATTTCAGTATTTCACCCACAACGATTAACAAGAAGGCTCTAGAAACTCCAACCTTGGAAACCCCGGTTGCGCGGACCTCAACAGATCGGCTACCTTGAATAACATCTACTGAAGCCTTTGAGATCGGGCCAGTACACAGATGCTGCAACAAGTCTTTTGCTTGAAGCCTTCCAAACTCAACATCTGAGCTTATATTCGAATAAATATTGTTACACGAGCTTATGTTACACTTAACAAACAAGCTTAAAAATTGTAAGAAGTTGACTTCTTCAAACAAGTGCCCATTTAGAAAAGACCATTTAGAAAAAAAATCGCAAATTAGAGTACATCTAAACAACTAAAAAGCATAATAAAAACAAAGATAGAGGTAGGGTTGTCAATTGATAACAAAATTAACACTCCCTCCGTCCCTCTATTATATTTGGTAATATTTGGGTGAATGTAAGATTCTTACTTTATTCACACTTTATCATTTTAATACTCCCTCCTTATTAAAAAGTTCACTACAATAGGTTTGGGCACATTATTTAACGATGAAACAGTAGGGGCAATGAATGGTATAGAAAAAGTAGGAGAGGGTGTAAGCGTATGAAAGAAAAGATAAAAAGTAAAAAAAAAGTAAGAGTAATTGAGTATTTTTAGAGGAAAAGATTACGAAAAAGGAAGAGTGTAGCAAACTTTTAAATACATCCAAAAAGGAGAGTGTAGCAAACTTTGAAATACGGAGGGAGTATCACTCATACAATTCCACTTTTCTTAATAATCGCATCACTCCCTCTTGTCCCAATGTTAAGGGGACGTAGGTAGTATTAATTATCACCTTAAACCACAACTTTAGCTTAGTGAACAGTTAATTAAGAGTGGATGGAGCAATTGTTTTTTGAATTGAGAGGGATGGAGACGATAATTACCAGCATATTTATAGTTCCACACAAGTGATGTTTCACGAATCTCAAAATGGGAGCGAGGCGTCCTCTCAGTGAAATACTCAAATACATGCTAAAGATTGATACAAAGAAAAGAAATAAAATTAAAGGATCATTCCCTATAAAAGCAATATTTTACTCGGCGCGATTGACTGCACCTTTACACTGTCAACCCAATCCATGTGTAAATTCTCTGGCATTGTTGTCATCCAGATACTCTTAGTTTGACGCAAAAACATCCCATGTTCTGCCGCCAGCCACATATTATACTCACCAAAGTTCTACCAAAACAATAAAAACAAAAAACAAGTTAAAACCATCAAACAACCTACACCAAACAGCACTAACAATCAAAATAAACAAGCTACACCAAACAGCACTAAAAGTCAAAATTAACAACCTCATCAAGAACGTTTCTGTCACTTCCACTGAGCACAACAACTGTGGTGTTTGGATCATCACATAACCTTTTTAATGGTTCCTTCACATCTGGATGCAACTTGGGCTCCATATCTTTTAACTGATCAGTTCTTCTTCCTTGAGCATCCAGTGGTTCAGTTAAAGCTGCATTGAATCCCTATAACAGAAGCATTGTCAGTTACTTTTTAAGAAGTCCCTCTGTTCAACTAATTATTCTCCAACACAATTCCATCGTATATAGTCTGCAGTTTATTTTATTTGGGATAAAAGCCTTTGGCTTTGATATATTAGATATCGGTCAATATAAACATAACAACATTAACCAAAAATCATCCTTAGACACCTAACCTAAGATTTCGCTAGCACAAGGGTTTAAATACTATGTAATTTAATTTAATCCGTAAGTACCGAGTACTCACCTACTACTCACTAGTCGGCCTTGGACTTTGCGGTGTTGTTTACAAACTCGATCCGATTCAAAAAACTTTTAGGGACCCACATAGAATAATACTACCTCCGTTCCCCTAAGTTTGGGACAAGAGAAGGTGGCACAATTATTAATAAAAATAGGTTTATGTGGTTGATATTGAATTGATAAAATAAGAATAAAGTAGGAATGATTTAGAACCACACAAACTTTACCAAATAAGGTATGAGACAATCTTAGTGGGACAGACCGAAATGGTAAAATGAGACAATCATAGAGGGACGGAGGGAGTATGAAATAAGATGAGTATTAGCATTAGTATAAATAGAGGTTGAGGGTAGAATAGAGAGAAGGTTGGAATTATCAATTGGGCTTAGGACAAGGAGAGTGGGTTAGAATAGAGAATTAGAGATACCTAACATTGATATCAGAGCATCGTTCCGGAATCTGATCATGGCCGTAAATAAGTAAAGAGTAAAGATCGGAAATCACTCACGGAGGAAATGGATTATGAAATGATGGAACGTAGTTGGGAAAGCGAGGAACACGAACTGGAGAGGAGTCGCGAAGAGAGACGGAAGGATTTCGCGGAGTTGCAAAAATCGAGACTGCAGCGGAACAATCGGCATAAGCGAGGAAGATCGAGGACCATAAAGCGCTGTCGGAACTCTAGACCCGCAAGTTCGAGATCGTCGATAGCGGTTTCTTTCAATTTGTCATCGCTAGCTGCTGGTTCCAGTTTGCCATCGCGAACTGCTCTTCCCCGTTCACAATCGCGAAATGCATCACCCAGTCCACCGTTGATAATCGATCATCACCCATCGACATCGCAAGTTTCGTCGCAGGTTTCCTTACTCGCCATATTTCACAGCTCATCGTCGCTTGCCATTCCTCACCTTGAGCTAGAGTCATAAGTTTCCAGAACCTTTGACCTAGTCGCATCAGAAAAAGGACCCCGGGGGGCTCCACCAACTACAATGAACACAGAATTGAAACCGGTTGCACCATCAGTTACGGAATCAGACCCTGAAGAGAATGTTCCAATGGAAACTGTGCAACATTGTTTACCAAACATTAGTTTGGAAGAGCTGAATAAGATTGATGGCTTCAGGTTTGATGATGTTACTTCGATTAAGAACATTCAAGACAGATTGGGGGTAGGAACTACTGGAAATTGGAAGGAAAAGATGGGTTATACTACTGATGGTTACGTTGACAGGTTTCTGATGTTTCAATCCTGCTATCGTCCAAGAGGATTTGATAATCGGTGAAAATGTAAGAGAATGCTAACAGTTTGTATACCTAATCAAGAAGCAGGTATAGGTTTGGACTATTGGGTTCGTAAGGGTATGGCGTTTGCCTTCCATTGCTATGAGAAACTCTATTCTTGGTGATCACACAGAAGAAAGTGATAAAGATTGAAATGCTGCCTGTTGACCTCAAGCCTATAAGGGAAGGACTTCCAGTGTTGAAATTGACCTCTCAAATGTTATTCTTGTCGGATAATCCAGTTTTGGTAATTTCCTATTCTGTGGCTAGAAGCCCAGCTGTGGGGTCCCTTGTACTTGTGACTGGAAGTTACAGGGAAGTTTTCAGCTTTTATTTCAATTCTGCCATTCTTCAGCATCAGCAACAAAGATTGAATGATCTTGGTTCTTAAAATATGTTGACTATAGCAAGAGAGGTTCCTCTTTTAGTTCAGTCAATCACTTGGGTGCTGGAATCTTGTGCTGAAAACATGAATTGCTATTCGTTAAAGGCGTTTGGTGCTGTTAGCAATTTTAAGAATCATGGCGATGTTTTTGGACTTATTTCAGAATACCTGATGTGTAGAATCAGTGTGAATCAGGACCCTATTATTCAGACTGATGTTAATGGACTAGAAGCTGAAGCAAATTTCAAACCTTACGAAATGATCTTAGACTCCAATGATCCAGAAGTGAATTCTTCCAGTAGTGTTCTTTTAATGGAAACTAAGCTATGTGAAGATGTTGGAAGTATAGAAGTGGAACTATACTTGCTGGGAAAAATAGCTATGGCTTTTTATTCCTCACTTGGGCTAATAATGTTGGATGCATGCCCAGTCAGGGAAGCAAAGAGGTCTCAGGAATCCTTCTCCGATTGGCTGTTTGGAAAACTGTTTGCACGCGCATCAGGAAATTGTTCCTCTGTTTTGGTGGTGGAAGATCTAAAGAAAAATGTTTGGTTTAAGGTTGAATTGTTGGAAGCAAACAAGAGGAACAGTTTTCTCCTTGAAAAATATTTTGAGGCTAGAGATATTGAAGGTATAGAGCAGATCCACAGGGCCCCTATATCAGTTTTCAGAAATGGTGGGAGGGGTATGATTGTGGTTGCTACTCATTCAGGAAGAATCTATATTATATTGGAGGTTGTGTCGGATAGCATACAAAACTGTTCTCATCAAAAAGCATCCCCACGAGAATGGCTCTGTAGGGGTTGTAGCACTTGGTGTTGGCCAGGTTTTAGTGAAGCATCATGTAACCATGCCCTGCCTCAGCTGCTTGCTATGGTAAAAGTGATGGCAAGGGTTCAGTTCATGAGGTTCAGGGTCCTGAAATTTGGAAGATACTAGGAAGGAAGAGGCGCAAAGAGGAAGAAGAAGCTGCTCATTAGGACTGTCTCCTATCACCCACCTTGAGGACAAGGTGGTTGTCAAAGGGGAGTAATGCTAGGGACTCGCATAGAATAATAAGAAATAAGAAGAGTATTAGAATTAGTATAAATAGTGGTTGAGGATAGAATAGTAAGAAGGTTGGAATTATCAATTGGGCTTGGGACTTGGAGAGTGGGTTAGAATAGAGATACCTAACAAAAAACAAGTCACTCAGCTAGTTCTGGATGCTTCGTTGAGTAACTTACAGTCAGAAAAGACTGGAAATAGAAATTTGGTTATTTTGACTTTACAAGATATATCACATAGACGGAAGGGTGAGTTTTATCGAACATTAATTAGGCCTACACTATTGTACAGCATAAGTGTGACTGAAATGTGCATGTTGTGTTGGATATGTGAGCATACTCAATGTTCAAAATTGCTCAATGCAATCGTTCCCTGAGGCACGCCTCTCACACATTTACTCCAATTAAGATAACAGGTGTATCTTTTTAACACAACGGGTATTCTTACGCTTAGGCGTACCCAATAGACACTACACAAGGAGGTTCATAGGGCTATGTGTCTGACACTTCTGTCAGCAGGTTTAGACTAAAAATACTCCCTCCATCCCACGTAACGGTTCTCAGTTGCTTCTTTTGGATGTCCCGTGTAAAAGTTCTCATTTCTATTTTAGGAAATAATTAGCATGCTTAAAACTCTTCTCAGGAAACTCCTGCAGTTCTGTGTAAGCTCCTGAGCTCCTCTTCTTCATATTTTAATTTTTGAAACTCTTTTCAGGAAAGGTAAACTCCAATCTTCTATGGTAAGGTAAGGTTTTTATTTTATTTATTTGTTATTTTTAACCTTTCTCAGTATGTACGACAAACATGAGCATATGAACTCAATGGTTTACATTCATATATTTCAATACCATATTGTATGACTCCTAATATCATCATCATTACCCCAGTGCCGCAAAGGCTCCCACCAACAGTGAGGTAGGGGGAGTCGGATGTACGCAGCCTTACCCATGTACTAAAGTACAGGGAGGCTGTTTCCGAATGACCCATAGTGAAAATCGCGTCAAAATTATATAGACTGAATACTAATTCATAACAAAGAAACGCAGACAATTTAGTGAGTCATTTTGCTTTATTCCATCAAATTCTCAAGCCCAAAATAGTGAGTTTTTGGCTCCATTGCAAATGATGGAACAGTATGCTAACAATATTTTTTTACTCTGGCCTATTTCTATTTTATATATTTTTCTACATTAATAATGATTGTTGATTAAAAAAGGTTCATAAATTTGTTTATAATCTGTTTATTCAATAACCAAACACAACACACAAGAGACTTTAAACCTTCTCAGGCTGAACTAGAAAACAAAAGTAGTGCACGGAGGCGCGTCACTGTGTAAAATTGTCTATCCATTTTACACAATGTCTCCTCAATCTAATAATCTTACTACTTTAACAGCTAGAAAATGTTTTCTGTGTGAGATTGGAACATATAATTTGATTGGGTTTATGACCACATTTTTGTTGGTCTTGATTATGATACTCCCCCGTATGTATTTGTTCTCCACAATAGCTTTTGGCACAATGTTTTAGGAGAAAATAGTAGGGGTAATGAATAGTGTAGAAAAAGTAGGAGAGAAGGTGGAAAGTAGAAAGAGAAGATAAAAAGTAGAAAACGTAAGGGTAATTGAGTATTTTTAAAGGAAAAACTTACAAAAAAGAAAAATGTAGCAAACTTTTAAATACATCCCAAATAGGAAAGTGTAGCAAACTTTTAAATACAGAGGGAGTATTTGTTTCTTAGTAATGATTATGTCATTTAATTTTTTATTACATTACATTATTTTGTCTTCTTATACAAATTTGTGTAGAAAAAATTGGGTTATGCCTCGTGCGGCTTACGAAATAGGCAATGCTAACAAACCGCCTCATATATGTTAGGATTTAATTAACGCAACACGAAAACAATAATAAAGAACACACGAAATTTGGTAACCCAGTTCGTCACGAATGACTACATCTGGGAGCGCTACCAAGCCAGGAATCGCTATTAATTTCGAATCAAGTGATTACAAGAGAGAGAGTTTGTATTTATAGAGTAAAA